ATACATACATACATATAATTTTCAATAAGTTTATGTATGTTTCCACATCTATGTACCATTCAAAGAACCAGAGCAAAAAAACATTGCCTATAAAGCCAATTATAAGTATACCTTTTTCAGTGTGTTGGCGCTTGAATGAATCTGTTTTTGAAAGGCTAGGGTCTGAGATGACTTTCGAGCCAAGCTTAACTGCCAAGTCTATAGATCGGTATCCTTGAGGAAGTTTGCGGTCATACAACAGAGTCAAAAGCTGGGCAAGGGTCATCTCAGGTGGCAGTGGCTGACCTAAATCACATGAAGTTACAAGAAGCTCTAAATTGGTATTGAACTGATAAATTCAAACCATGACTTAAATAAGCAGTTATCATTAACATAATGAATAAGCAGCTTCTGTCTTTTTCATTTTCTAGGCAATCAGTTCCTATAATTAGAGCACTTCTTTAAGCACGGTGAAGCTTCTTTTCTCAAATCTTCTAGTAATATTGAAAAAAATCTCTGTTACAGGTAGTCCTTGACTTATAATGACAATTGGGACTCAAATTTCCCATGCTAATCCATGTGGTCATTAAATGAGTCATGCCCAATTTTTTGACCTTTTTTGCCAAGGACATCAAGTGAACCCGGCTTCTCCTCCTGACTTTGTCAGAAGTCCCCTATGAATGTTGCAAATGAAAATCACATGACCCTGGGACACTGCAAATACATGTTAGTTGCCAAGGATGGGTTTTTGATCTTGTGACCACAAGGATACTGTGACAGTTGTAAGTGAGAGGACCGGTTGTACGTCACTTTTTTCAGTGCCATCATAACTGAACAATTACTAAAAGAATGGCTATAAGTCAAGGAGTTCCTTTATCAAACTACACATGCAATATTAGTCTGGATAAATACTTAAATGTTATTACAGTACTTGTTTAACAAAATCTGATCAACACATTTACCTAAACAGATTACATTATCGTATATCATCTATTAAATCAAATAACTGATTCAACTGTAAGTTTATCCATGAACATTAGATATATTTATAATGCTAAGGTTACAGGCCTATAGATACAATGTTCCATAGGACTATTTCATATAATTAGAAAACTTCTGATTTCAAATCAAGGTTTCTTTATAGTGAATCTGAGAAAATGTACAGATCCTTGTTCAACCTCATTTTATGTATCTTAGCATTCTTGAAAAACATGGTCTAATTTTAAAAAAAGTAGAAAAGTACCTGGTAGCAATTTATGATATAGGTGAAAAACAGGAACACTAATAGTTTTGCTGGAAGAATCATTTCCTGTGGAGGAACTGCCTACTTTATCTGTCACCACTCTCCCTCGTCTTGAAGGTGGACGAGGTGGTGTGGACGATACAGCCCTTTTTGACTGAGATTTCAAACCTATAATGAAAATGAAGTGTTACATTTTATACAGTTTGCAATGCAACTCAACAGTATTTACACTGATGCTTAAAAGTTACTAAAGGCTTTTAAAATTTTCAATATTTCTGCATAAATAAAATCAAAACAGGATCTGTTCTCCATATAACTAATAACACTAGATAAAGAGAGCTCAATTCAACAAAGCACATTATACTTATTCCTTTATTTATTCAGGGAAATGATCCAGCTATATACTGTATTTATGTTTGGCAAAATTATATAAACCTCTGTTTCCTAGTATGATTTGATTGTTGATTGTACCCTATGACTATCGTTAAGTGTTGTATGTTATGATTCTTGATTCTTAACGAAAGTGCCTTTTCTTTATGTATACTGAGAGTACTTACACCAAGACATATTCCTTGTGTGTCCAATCACACTTGGCCAATAAAGTATTCTATTCTATTCTATTCTATTCTATTCTATTCTATTCTATTCTATTCTATTCTATTCTATTCTATTCTATTCTATTCTACTCTATTCTATTCTAAGATAGCAAGGAAAAATTCAATCAATGAATGATAATCAAGTGTGAGTGTGGGAGAGCCTGCCTTATTTAAAGAACAGAAGTCTGGGTGTTCACTATTAAAGCCAACCTGCACAACACAGGTATTTGGGAGTATGTCATGGCCTGAACAAAGGAGATATCTGAGGATCTCTGAAAAACAGTTGTTGATGGAAAAGGCTGGGAAAGGTTATAAAACATTTGCCAAATAGTTTGGACTCCACCAGTCCAATGTCAGGCAGATTGTGTACAATTGGAGACAATTTACCATCATTTTTACTCTCCCCAGGAGTGGTTTGCCAAACAAGATCACACCAAAAGCAAGGTGTGTAATAATCAGAGTAATCTCAAAAAAGCCCAGGGAACTAGAGGCCTCTCTTGCACTGCTGAATGTCAGTGTTCATCAGGAGAACACCGAGCAACAATGGTATGCATGGCTGGGCTACAAAAAGAAAGCCAACACTCACTCTCTCAAAAATAAATGAACAAATAAACAAACAAGCAAAACAAAAACAAAATCCAGTGCTGCTCATCTACAGTTTGTGAAAGACCACATGGATAAGCCAGAAGGCTATTGAAAGAATGTCTATGGAGATTCTCAGTCATCCAGGTGATGGTTGTCCCAAAGGTGCTTTTTCAGAAGGCAACTGGACTTTCTGGTCCAGTTACCTCTTGAAAAAGCACCTTTGGGACAACCATCACTTGGATGACTGAGAATCTCCATAGATATTTAGCTGTGCACTTTGGGATGAACGCCCTTCGAATCATGCGGGAGTATGAACGGATTTCCAGAACAATTGCAGACTATAGGAACAATTTACGCTTCAGTTTGAGATGCAGACAGCACAGGCTCATCCCCAACAGCCTGTGCCTGTGCTCAATAATGAAGGGACACAGGGCAAAAAGCATCCTGCAGAAAGCACAGCTCCAACTTTTCAAAAAAAAAAAAAAAAAGTCCAGTTGCCTCTTGAAAAAGCATCTTTGGGACTATTGAAAGAATGCTCTGTGGACAGATGAGACCAAAATAGAAGTTTTAGGCTAACATGCAAAGAGTTATGTTTGGTAAACGGTGAACAAGTATAAGAACCATATTTCACCTGGGAAACATGATAATGCAATGTTGTTCTTAATTGAGCTCTCTTCAGTTTTAGGACATGTGGAAAATAGATCACATTTTAAGTCGTATTTGAGCAGAAATATTTAAAAATTCAAAAGGGTTCCCAAACATGTAAGCTCCACTGTTATTTGTAAGAGAGACAATATCCTACATAAGTACTTTTGAATAGATGGAGGCATCATGTTATATCCTCATAACACAGCAGATGTTATTGCATGGGAGAAGCAACTTCTGCTTTGCTGCAAAGCATCTTCTATCCCAAGATTTTACATACATTTTTGTAGAGTCATCTCTCTCAGCTTTTCCTTATGTCTAACCTCATTGAATTCAGCCTATATAAGTAAAGGGCAAACTGTATTTTTCTTCCTTATCCAATTATTAATATCCCATGCTCCATCTTCATTTAGTTTTGTTATCCCTCTTCTCAGCCTATCTCCATTCAGATTTTTTGGTTTTTTTTTGTCTTTTCTGTTATTTCTTCTGGAAGGCAAGAGAGAGTTGTAGACTCTAGTGATGATGAAAAATGTTTGGGATTCCCTTTGTCTAATGTTACACCTAATGCCTCATTCACCTTTGCTTGAACACATGGCATAACTTTAATTCAGTAAGTTGTAAATTACCATGCTCCAATCTTATGGTCAATGAATGCAAAGCATCAAGATAGCTGACATTATTTTTAAAAGATGCTTTAAATTTAATATTAAAGTTAGCTTACTACTCCTCATACTATCCCATTCAGGTATGATAACTTGATATAAAATTAGACATACCAGATGCAACAACAACACTGTAATTGTCCTGAAACCCACTGTCTGCTTTAACTTTCTCTTTTTCTTCGTAATTCTTTTTTTCCTTGTCTTCTTTTTGTTCACTAATTAATTTTGCTGTTATACTAGGAGTATCTGGAAACAAAATATTGTATTAAGTAGAAAACATTACTATTTTATTGTTTATGTATCTAAAGGTGTACACACACACACATACTAGGGTTGTAGAAAGTATTTGAAAGAGATGCTTTGCAAAAAAATGAAGTGGCTGTATGTGGACATGCATGCAGAGAAGGCCAAGAACAGTTTCCAACATAGTCATGTAAGCCTGTAAAAGAGATACTATAATCAAAGAGAGGTGGTGTGTTTTTGTGCTGTGTGCATTGTGAAGTACTTCTTTTGCATGTCTTGCACAGCTCTAATATGTACATATTACAAGATTCATTCAGTATTGATGTCAGTGATAAACAGGAAGAAAATAAGGTGGATTTGGTGCAACTTGAATATATTCATTACATTATTGTATATTTCTAAAGCAAGTCAAATTTGTTCTGTGCAAACCTCACCTCTGTCCTTTAACTATGAATAATGGGTGTTGTAATTCAAACCAACAGGTCCCATGTTTCTACACTGCCTTCTAAATTAGTAGTAATATATTGGTGAAATATTTTTCTCGATTTATAGCATCTTTCTAAATATGATAGTTTTAGGCAGTATCTGGTTCTTAAATGTTAAGTCACTTTAATGAAACTGCTGTAAGACTGCTAAAATAAAGAGTATTATAGAATGATACAGACATACTCTTCAGCTCTAATATAAATACACCCTTTTATTATACATTCCACCATGGAAAATTCTGTACTGAGCAATAAATTTATACATGAAGTAAAAAAACACCATTTGTTTTATGTATAAATCCATCAATGAAAGCCCCCCCCCCCCCCCCCTCTCCCTCCCTCCCTCCCATACACACACACTTTCCAAAGACTAGAACAAAAAAATACCTATTTAATAAAAGCAACTTACCTGATACACGATCAAGAACCTCTGCCAGTGTTGTTGAGACTGGCAAGAGAAGAGTACGGAACTTATGTCCTGCCCCAAACATTGGATGTTGAATTATGTGGCTGGTAGCATTAATTCTACCTTTATACAGCTAAAAGTTAAGAAACATAAAGTTGTTTTAAGAATTTCGAAATAAAAAGGCTGTAAACATTTCATAGTGTGTGTTTGTGTAGTATCTGAGATTCCCCTTAGACTCACAACTCCTACTCAATGAAATGGTGGCTGTGAGGACCTTTGTACAGCTTCATGTTCTGTACCAATTCAGTCCATTCCTGCATTGGCAGGCTCTGCTTATAGTCACTCATGCACTAATCACACCCATACTGGATTATTGCAGCATGGTCTACGTGAAGCTGCCCTTGAAGAGTACCCAGAAGCTTTATCAGCTACAGATGCCCATTCTCTTCCCGTTTCTGCCTCCTCTCCCATACGTTATGCACACTTAGTTGAGCTGTTCCTATCATCTCCTTTCCAAACCTGCCCAAGCATCCAGCATGCTGAACTGCCTCCCCATCTCCCTCTTTTTGCACTATCTCTTCTCCTCTCCTCTTAGGAGCAGCACACCAGCAATGAGTGAGCAGCAGCATGTCCCAAAGGAACACATCAAACTCCAGCAAACTGAACATTCCAATACTTGAGAACGGATGGGTAGGAGCTTTTCTGGATATCTTCATTTTCCAAAGCTTGGCCAAAAATAATGAGGAGGGGGGAAAAAAGAAAGCGAGCAGGGAGGCAGCCTATGAAATGCTTGTGCCCCAAGTCAAGTTTGGAAGAAGCTGCACTCAATACCCTGGTTCACTTCCTTTTTCTTTAAAGATCTTTTGTTTTGAGGACTCCTGGACAGGGTAAGCTTTCAGGAAAGGTAGCATTAAAGTTTGTTTTGAGGAGTGGCTGGCTGGGGAGGAAGAAATTGGTTCTTTTGGTCAGAAAACTTTTTCTCGTTTGGGGAAGCCTGTGACTGGAGATATTTGTCAATAGCAACAAAAAGCGTATCCTGTCCAGGTACCCCAAAAACAAATGATCTTGTAATGGATGCTAGTTATAGAATGCAATTTGATTCAGGGGATTTCAACAGCTTACAAATGAGATGAGAAACATCTAAATTAGGACATTCTCATAATATCATTTTGCACAGTATAACTGAATTCCATTCCCAGATTTTATCTTGAGACAGTAACTAAACAAAGAGTCCAGGACTTGAACATCAACCATCGCTTCTATCATCACCCTGTTTGCCATATTACCTAATTAATAATTCTAAAAAGGACAGAATCTTTGTGCACAGTTTTTGTGACCTTGAGTTATTAAAAGTAATAGGGTATACTGTTTCTATTAAAGCATTACAAAAAAGAAAAGATCAGAAACAGATTAATTAAAGTGATTTACAGTGAACATCTACCAAGATGAAATGGATGTTCTAAACTTCTTTACTTGAAAAGGAAAATGGAAGGAACAGCACACACTACACAACAAAGAACATGAACAATAGGGATGATCCCATTATTCAGGAGCAATGAATTGGCAAGTGGATTAAGTAATGAACATGAAAATGTATTACACTTGTAATTGAGGCATAATTAATATCAACAGATGGTAAAACATAGGATTTATCAAGATGTGAGAAGCATACACTCTTCCCCTTTTGCACCTTATGATTTCAAGGTTATTATCAAAATTTTACTATAAGGAATTATGTAGAACAGGATTATGCATATTGACAGTTTACAGAATTTATGATTATGAATAAAATTGTAATAACTATGTATATTGTAAAAGAACTGTGTAATATGTAGTTATTGGCTGGGCAAGGCTAATCTATATCACCATGGCTGGAAAATATATTTTAATGTTTCCTTTTTAGTAGGAATGGATAGGATGAACTTTTATTTTTAGTTACTGTGAGTTTTACCTAGCAATGAGGGTAGGTAGCAGTGGTACTAGTGAATGTGGAGAGACAACTTACTGGGCAAGGTGACTGAAGAAACATTGTCACTTTTTCATCCTCCAGCATCAGCTGCAAAAAAAGCCTTCTAATAAACCCTGAAATATTTCCAGATGTTGGGAGATTGCTTCTTTGAGGAGAGGAATGGAAGAGTTCACAAAGAACCTATAAAAGGAATTGAAAGAAAAAATTCAGAGAGAGTTATAAATATTCATGAGCTACAATTATGAATATTTATTTTGTTGTATCTACAATAGGGCATACATTTGTTGATCTATCGGTTTCACTACTTTTTTCCCTTTATAACTCTTAAATCAGAGTATACCTGCAGGAACTTCACTAAACTCACTTTCCACTGTTAGAAGGGCTATTCCAACCCTACCTAGTGCCTAGACCTTGAAACAGACCATTGTCGATCTCTAACACAGCTAGAACCCATTATGATCTGTAGTAAAATTTGCAATTGCTATGTATGTTCTTGAAGTTGCTTCCCATGTTATACACTAGCATAAGAATCTCAGCAGTTCCAAGATCTTTATTCTGTAAAGTTACTGTGTTGTTCTGCACCACATTTACTGAATTCTGATCTCATCATTGATGCCAGAATAGAAGAGTTAGCCATACCACAAGGAAAGCTCAGAAAAAGAAGCTCTCAATCAGTCCTTCAAATACAGCTAAAGTGATATTTTTATGCTACATCGACTATTCAGATTAATTTTTATGTTACCTGAGCCATCAATCTTTGATTATTAGGATGGCAAGAAATACACTGCAAGAAAAATGCAACGGTAGCATTTTCAATTGCTGTTCTCTGCTGAGTAGTCAGTCCTGTTCCTGAAGCTGAAGTAAGCAAAGTAGGTCTAGCACTATTCTGTTGTGGCACTGCAGCATGTCCTCCAGAAGTAGCACCAGAATGGCAAAGTAGAAATAAAAGTGCCGTCCATAATGGATTGACTTCAGAGCCACCCAACCAGTCCTTCATAAGGTTGCTGTTTCCAACATCTGTCAAGAATCTGAGTACAGGAGCAACTAAATCGGCTGTGATGGGCATTTTATGAAAGTGCTGTGGAATGTGGTGTCTTCTGATCCTGTCTTGGGAATTGTCTGTTGATGGCGCACTGAAATCAGAGGCAGAAGTATGGTTAAAGCAAAAGCTTGCAAGGCTTCTTACAAGGAGGGAGGGCAACCCTGAGTCCAATAGCTGTTTAATAGCTTCAGGAGACTGTGATGAGGCAGCAAGAGTGGCCAAGTGCGATTCAGTTAGTGCAAGGGGTGCTTGTGCATTTTTAGAGTCATCTGTTAAAGACGAAGTAAGGTCCTGTTTTTTGCTGTCATCTGTCATAGACAGTCTGTGTTGCAACTGGATAGGGGGAGGAGTAATACCCATCCACCCCATGAGTAAGGAAAAATAACTTGGATGAATATGGCACATTGAACAAAGGAGACTGTCAACAGCTTTCTTCAAAACCACATTGCACGGAAGAGACATGGACCAATTAAACAGAGACCTAAGGAGAAAGAAAAAACTAATTAGAAAAACAAATATATTAATGACATATAAGCTAGCCCTGAATTCAATTGTTATTGTCTCCAATTTACATTACTTTGAAGCTCTATAAATTTGATGAAGTTTTCCTGTGGCTTAGCTACAGATCTAGATTATTGCAAATTCCTTGTTCATTATATGAAGAAACTGAAGATGCAGGCCAAACCGCCCTATTTCTGTTCAGAACTTGGGGTTTATTTGAATGCACATCCTACTGAAAATATTTGTACAGTTAATTTTCTTATACCTTTTTATGCCACAAAATAAATTACTGCCTTAAGAGGGACTAGACCTGCCAATTAAGAAATGTAAATTTTTAAACTGAAATTCTTAAATTAACACTTACTAAGAAAAGCTAATTTGTAGATAAATAGACCTGTACTTGAATTGCAGTTATAGAACCCTTGCCATTGCCCTGTACTAGTACAGAATCTGCATTTTGAAAATGCCCACATTTTAAGTGAAAACAGAAAAGATTCCTCTACAAGAGATACAGAGTATACATTGCCCAAGCAAACAGGAAAATCCTATTAGATTATGAAAGTTTATGGAAAACTAGGTCCATATTTCTGAATGATAATCATTGTAACAGACGGTCACTTAGCTTTGTGTATATTTTTTTAAAATTTACAGTGGGGGTCCTTGATTTATGACCACAACTGAGTGCCAAGTTTCTGTTGCTAAGCAAAAGTTAAGTGAGTTTTGCCCCATGTTATGACCTTTCTTGCCACGGTTATTAAGTTAGTAAAATGGTTGCTAAATGAATTTGGCTTCCTCATTGATATTTTTGTCAAAAGGTCGCAAAAGGTGACTACATCACCATGGGACACTGCAACGGTCATAAATACATATCACTTGTCAAGGTCCGAATTGATCATGTGATCATGGGGATACTGCAATGGCAACAAGCGTGAAAAACAGTCATAAGTCACTTTTTTCAGTACTGTTGTAACTTTGGTCACTAAATGAATGGTTGTAAGTCGAGGACTACTTATACTAGCTTTTTGTCAAAAACGTATGGGAAAAAAAATCAGTAAAACCTACGTATAAAGAGCAAAGGATCGGTGGTCTCATTGGGAAAGCCATTTTTTTTGTGGATGCAGTTTTATTACATCAGCAATTTATGTTTAAGCCCTTGAGTGTTTGTGGCACTCAAGCATTGCAGAGATTTAAAAAAAAACACATGAAGCTCTAATCCAGATCTCTAAACTAATGCATAGGCTACTTACTCAAAGAGTTCTCTGTTCAACAATGCTGGCAAGTCATATTCTACAAGCAATTCATAGCTATGCCATAAAATTGCTGCTACACAATGCAAATGTGAAGGAGATGGCATGAGAAGACCGTATTCTCTTGTTGAACTGTTTGGACAGACATAGTTGACTCGACCACTTTTTTTCATGGCTGCAACTCTTGCAGAATCACTGACCCATTTCAACAAAGCTTGAATTCTAGAAGATAGAAATACATTATGAACACATTTGGTAGGAATATTTATTTATCTGTAAAGCTTATATGGCCACCTGTCTTATATATAATAATCCTAAGCAGCTCATCAGAAAATCAATTCAAACAGTAATGTCATTCCCCACCATAGTGGCCTAATATCCATCAGTTCCTCCCCATTCTAGCCTAATATCTGGGATAAACAAGTTTTCACAGCTTTCTGGAAGGCTATGAAGGTAGGAACCTTTTGAGGTATATTTGTTGGATGTATTTCTATGTTGCCACTATCAAAATGACTCTTGGTGGCACACATAGAGAAAAACAAAAACACAAAAAACCACAACAGCACTTCAATAATACATAGCAACAATACTGTGAAACAGTTTTCAGAAAATATGAATATGAGTGTAGGAGACAAAACAAATTTTAAACCAGCACACAAACTAAAAAATAATCTCAAACCGAAAATTATTTCAAAACAATTCAATAAAAATATCTGCCTATTGTAGGTTCTTGAGAAAGACTTCATAGGTGGATAAACATGTCAAATCCAGTCTAAATATCTGGCTGACTGTGTGACCAACCACCATTTATTAAACTTGTAAGGTGCCTGACTTTCAATGATTCTGGATATCTTACAACAATCAAACAATATTGCAAGAATTAATTTTTCTGGCTTTTATATCTTGTTTTTATGTCCAGTGGTACACACATACAAGCTGCTCACACACAGTTTATCCACTCCTAACCTTTGGAATTTTAGTATACTTTATCTTATTGACAAGAAACTCAAAGTCAAAAAGGAGGATGCTAGCTATACTGCCAAGTAAAAGCAAATTTTGTTCTAATTCCCAAATGTCAAATTTATTAGTTTCCCTTGGCTGAAGTTCAAATAAGCTATATATATGTATGTATGTATGTATGTATGTATGTATGTATGTGGATCTTTGGTTATTCGGGTTTTCTCCCGCGTAAGATTGGAAGTATCTAGGCAACGTTTCAATGAAGTCTCATTCATCATCTTCAGGCTTGTGTCTTCTGCTCTGTGCTTCTCAGAGTAATGTGAGCTTGAGAAGCACAGAGCAGAAGACACAAGCCTGAAGATGATGAATGAGACTTCATCGAAACGTTGCCTAGATACTTCCAATCTTACGCGGGAGAAAACCCGAATAACCAAAGATCCATATATATATGTATGTGTGTGTGTGTGTGTGTGTGTGTTTTCTTAAGTTTTCACGGGTTCTTACATGTATGGTATTCAGCTTTATTCAGACAAACACAATACAGAAGCCTGATGATGGCAGATGAGATTCTGCCGAAACGTTGCTACAACTTTAAAAGCACAACTACAATGACGTGGGAAAATACCCGAGCAAAGCTGAATACCATACATGTAAGTACCCGCGAAAACTTAAGAAAAAAAATATATATATGTATTGCAGTACTGCAACTATGCATACAAAATGGCTGCATCCAAATTAAATTACAGAGATATGTTTGTGAAGACGGGAGGAAGGATACAATCTATAGATCTCAAATTTGTATATCTATTTAAAAAGAAAATATTTACCTTTCTTTTGTTCCAGGGTCCTGAGTCGTCCCAAGCTGATAGAGAATGTCAATTGTGGAGTCAGAAGACAGGCCATTTAATCTTCCAAAAAGTAAAGGGCTATTCAAATCTTCTCATATAAACAAACAAAAAAAATTGTTTACTAAGGGTAATACAACATATAATTCATTGGTCTGCCAAGATATTTTAATAGTTTTAATTAAGAAAGACAACATTTTTCCAAGTTTTTACTGGTGATAATTAGTTTGAAAACATAGCTACCAAATTGGAAAAATCAAGACACATTTTCAAATCTCACTATATGTAAATGCATGACTACTAATATGACTTCCTTTTTGTGAGCAGAGGCCTCACTAAGCTTAAAACTAGAAAGAGATCAAACTATTCTCTTACCTGTAGGGTCACTCCCAGAGGCAGAACAATTTCTTAAAAGAATGTCAATTAGCTTGAGGCCTATTTTAGTGGACTGAAGCCCGATTTTTACAAGCACAGCCTCAATATTTGGAGAGTGCATGCCACAGTATGGTGACATCAGGAGAGCAGCACATGTCTGCAACAGGTTGGCAGTAGGTGCTGCAGCACTAGCCATCATTCCTTCTAAATCACTTATGTGAGTGAGGCAATGATGCAGCAGCCTTAACCATCCAATGCTGAAAAAGACAGAAGCATAATTAAAACAGATTCCATCTTGACTTCAACACAAAACATAATTATTATGTAAGTTGAAGTGCAAAACCAAAAGTACTGTTCCCCCACCCCTGCAGGTTTATCCAATTTATTAAAAATATATGAAAATAATTAGTATTAGTTTTGAAAGAAAAGCCCTCTGTTGAAATATGTAGACTTGAAGTTCAGAAGTTAGGGTTAGGGTTAACCCTCTTCAAATCAAAATTACAGGCTAGGATTGTTTATGTTACAGGCCCCCTTGGTACAAGTTACAATGAGAATGGTGTGAAACTTCAAAATCCAAATTTGAAAAGTACAGAGGGTAAAAAAAACAACCCTCCTCTGGACTTGCTTGTCAGAAATTTGATTCTTCATGCCTTCCAAATTGTCTCTGAGGCCTAAATTTATAATCCAACGCTTCCCGAACAGAAAATAATTATTTACGGTTATTTCCCAAATCTAATTAGATTTCTTAAAACGGACAAAGGTATAAAAGGAGGGACAATAACCATTAAAGGCTTACATATTAATCCAACAAACTTCAAAAACATTCAAATGTTTGTTGAAGTCTAGTCGCCACAGGGGACTGTCAGTCTTACTAGGTAGACCATACAGGAGATGCTTAGATAAGCTCTTTCTACTTTATTATAAAACTACATTGACAGAATCTTGCAAGCCTGAAAATACACTTCTCTCACCATCTTCATTACTGCCTGAGAAATTAGGGTCTCTTCTCAGCATCTTGCCCCACCCACTTATCCAGTTGTGGGCTATGCAGTCTCTTATATGTTCATTCCCTAGGTGGAGTCTCTTTGCTCTGTCTCCCAATGTCTTTCTCAAGTGCCATTACATGAACAGATGCAATCTGTATTAAAACTGCAACTGGAAGTCTATTTCCAAGCCTGATTGTCATACTTGGAATGATATTTAGAGAAATGTGGGTCGGCATAAGTCCACACAACTCCCCCTCCCCTGCTAAGCCTGAGGTTTGCTGGAGGGACAGCATGAATAATAATATCCAGTAAGTCTTATAACATAGCAAAATTGTTTCACATAGGAAAAATGAATTAATCTGATATCTCTACTGATAAAACATACCTTGTTTTAGATACCTGGTCTTCAGAAGGAAGGAATGGATTATTGACTGTTGCAGACGAAGTGTTACCAAAGGCAGTGAGTCCAAGTAGTTTAATCTGAGATAGTCCTAAAGTGCTAGCATCACGTGGGCGATGAAGGCGAAGACACACAGCTGAGGCAACTTCAGCTTTCACAAGCTGTATTTTTATGTAGGTAAGACCACTTGTGATAACAGGTGTTGACAAAGGTAACATGTTCACCCCATCTGCACTTATTTCAACAGATACCGAAGAAGGGCATGCTATAGAGATAGGAGTGTTCACATATATTTATATAGAGAGCAAAATTTACAGGCATCAATTTCATTATTTTAAAACATGAAATAAATACAAACATTCACATATAGAATAGCAATAGCCTTCCATCTTTCCAAGGTCAGTAAAATAAAGATCCAGATTGTTGGGGGCAATATATAAGTAATGCTTATACTGTGACCTGCTCAGAGAATGCTGTAAAGGACTATAGGGTGGTATATAAGCCTGTATGCTGTTGCATAAGTAAAACCATGAAACCTTGTGACATATGTCTGCACACATTCATAGCACCTGGAACAGTTGGTTATGGAACTAACAAAGGGAAGAGGGAATTATAACCCTAAAATACTAAGCTTTGTAAAAAAACAAGTATTGAGATTATCAGAAACAAATGGCTGCTATTAATGTCTGTAACTGACTAGATATAGGAATCTTCTCAAAATGAGGAAGTAGGTAAAACTATAATGACAGGGAGGACCAAATATCTTAAGATAGTTTTTAGGTTACTCAAAACCAACAGAGAAGTAGCTGGTATGTATAGGTCAAATTAAAAAAGGTACATCAATGTTATTATAAATTATTAAATGTATAGAGTTTCTTTCTCCAAGAAAATTAACACTAAAGAAAAAAATCATAATTCTACATTTAGAATGGTATTGTGTATAAACATAACAGAAGCATGGATGAATTGGAGGACAGAAAGGTATGGACAAATAGTGTATTGTGAATAGTTTTGATGTAAACTATTTATAGCTATGTTTCTTTTTATCATATGACTTTTAATTTCTTATTTGTTTCCTGCACTCTACATAATGTTGATAATGAGTATAAGAATCTTGAAAGTTGTCTGCTTTAGCTTCTAGAACTTTGTCAGATCTTTTAAGATACATCCTTTCTTACAAGTATGAATTTTACAACAGATTTAAAACTGCACATTATTTGGCATAGGCCCAGCAAGTTGATTTATTGTTTCAGTTTTTTTAAGATGGAACCTAGAATCAGATTGTGTTAACAGCACTCTTATTTTCACACAGCAATATCATTTCAAAAGACTTTCTTTACTGTTCAACTACAAAGCAGGTATTGTGAAGATACCTACTTGCAAGAGAGGCAAGATGTGGTTGAATATGTATTTCTTTTAGCAACACTGCAGCAGGGAGATGAATTGTAAGGTCACACCAGGCTTCCTCAGGTAGAAAGATGTAAGACCAAGCGGCAGATCGAGCCCTTCGATGTGGTGGAGTTGCCTGCAGCAATACTTCAGCAGGCTGGGCTGTAGGACTACTTGACGTAATTGAGCCTTCAATAAATAATTGCCATTAATGTAAAAATATGCCAGATAACTTGCAAATTATCAAAAAGCCAAAGGAGAAGAGAAAAAATTAATATCTGTGTTTCCCACAGGCAAGCAGTTAAACTCCATTTGTGGCTACATATATTTTACTCACTGTTCTTTATATGCAACTAGAACAAATAAATATTACAGTATATGTGTGATGTCAAGTAGTGAGTATTTTACTTCCATTAAAAATGATAATGCTACACAGTTCACGTGAAGGTTCCTTCTGACTTGGTGTGAAAAAGGCATCATAAGGCTTAACTTTATTGCGTAGTTAGGCAGACATAATGTAATTTAGATCTTTATTTTAGGCTTTGTGCATTTACATCATATCCTTCCAAGTACTGACTGAGTTTGAGTGTATGCATAGTAGAGAGATACAGGTTAATCAAATCAGGCAGCAAGATTTGAGAATGGATAATTTTCTATACTCTATTCTCCAGAATGAACGAAATGGCAACTGATGAATGCTTAGAGAAAGAGTGGCCCACCTCTACTGTAAAGGAGATTTTAAAATTTAATTTTGAAAGGTGATCTTTATCCTAAACTGATATACTATATAGAGAAAGCCTGTAATCAATGACACTCTTCAAGTAAGCTCTCCTGGCACCTTTCACCAAAGTCTCTTAAGAAAAAGCCTCCCCATTACTTTATAAAGGAGGGCTGTCATAAGACCGTCTACCAGATATCAGAAATTTAATTGTCTTTGGGCAGAATATATAAGCCCACAAAGTGTCTAAGAACTTAAATTCGTTTCTGCTGGAAGTAATTGTCTGTGGAACTGACTGCCTGAACAAATAAGAAAGTGTAAACTCGATTTTCTGGCCATTCTGGAGAAGGGAAGATATTATAGAGGATGGCTATTAAAAAAAATGCTGTCTTGGGTGAAAGGTAAGGAAAGGTTGGAGTGGAGTTCCTTGGCATCAAGCCTAGGACAAAAATATATGTCACATGATCTTTGCCCTTACTAGTTGACAGAAATTACCGCAATAGTAAATGCATTCCTCACAACAACAGACAATTTCTATATATTTCCCACTGAGAGTAAGAAATGACAGAAACTTAATGCAAATGTTTATAAATTGCGATTACCCTAAATAGAAGTTCTTAATTTTCAATCATGCTTCATACTGTCAGAGAAATACTTGTGATCTCAGGGGAACACAGAGCACCTAATTACATGGTCTGCTCCCATCTTTAAAAATACCATTAAACAATCAAAAACACTACATATAAATTTGAAGCACAAGTCTCTGGAAATGTTTTTTTTCAGTGGTGTTGGAGAAACACTAAACAGCTTTTAAAAATATGTTACATTCCTAAAGTCTTTGCAAAGATAGATTTTTGCTAATGATTATCACATAAAGCAAATACACAAAAAATGAGAACGTTTCTGAACCAAAAAGCGTAATGGGAATCTTGGTCACTGTGAGAACAGAATTTTTTTAAAAATGCTAATGTGTTTAAATATTTGTAGCTACAATGAAACGAGGAACATCGAGTGATTTTAATTCCAAAAAGCTATGCTTAAATGCGATGACTTTAAATCATGTTCTTATCTGAGCTGCCATACAACTGATGCTCTAAACACTTACTAGAACCTGACTAAAACATATGTAAATCAAATTTAATGGTGAAGCAGTTACAATGTAATCTCTCCATGTTTTTCTCTGTGTAAGAGATTGATATGGTATAGGGTTTCCTGCTTGAGCAAAGGGTTGGACTAGAAGATCTCCAAGGACCCTGCCAAATCTGTTTTTCTGTTATATCAAATCTTAGCCAAAGACTAGATAATTCTGTATAGTTCTTACAAATTTTTGAATATATAATTTTGTATTGAAAATCCTGGTTCAGAATTTCAGACAACCTATTTCATGATACCTGAAATATTTAATATTATTTTAGAAAATCTGAGTTTTCCTCAAAACCTGGCAACATATTCTGTTCTACGAAACCTGTATGTGTTTCAAAATCATACCAAGCTATAGGGGTACATAACTTACCCAATGGTGCAAAATTGTGGATTCCTTCTGCATTATCAGGCTCAGAAGCTAGTACTCTTGCTTTCAAAGTACCATCTGTTCCCTTGCTAGGGCCAGAGTCTAAGAATTTCATAATAGTTGAAACCATGCTTCTTGCTGTATTTACAATGGCTCTGGTACTGGTCACCATGTTATTGCAAATGAGCTGAACACCTCCTAAGAAAGAAAGTCAATAAATCCCGAGAATAACAATATGATCGGTTACAATTTAAACAGTTTTGACAAAAAGCTGAGTACAGTTTATTAAAAATCTGGAAAAATTATGCCTACACAAAAAGAGGATATTCAAAATTCTTTGGTCAGGATTTAAACCATATTTGAGACCAGCCTCTTTGCAACTATTTCCCCTCACATGTTCCCTTCCTTTCTCCTGTTCTCTTAATAGTCAAAAACTGTTAGAGCAAAAGTGCAGTCTAAAGTACACAAATTGGGAAGGCTGCATAGGGACAGAAGGAGTCATTTAGTTCATACGCAAATGTGTTTTGATTGTAATTTTGATTGCTTTGATTGTAATTTCAATATATTTGTAGAATATGGAAAATAAGATCCTTACCCATATCATGAAAAACTTTCAGTGCCTCATTGGTATCCAGCACTCTTAAAATGAACCATAGCAAAGGTTCAGACAATTGGCAAGTGGCAAGAGAACCCTAGTGGAAATACAAAAAAAAAAAAAACACACACACATTTACCTAGATGTACATAATCAATTGATAAGTTAGCTAAATATGTTGGCGTCATATTACAGAGGAAAATGATCTATTCTTATGGCTATTTCTATGGCTGTTTAAACAATTAAAATAAATGAAAGAACACAATTCTCCCAATATCTGAACTGTTTTTTCCCCCTGAAACTAAAATTCAGTTTGAAGTTAACTGAAAAGCAGTGAAACAAATCTGTCAATGCCCATTATTTCTATTGCAAAGAATAATGTCTACAGTTTATATTAGTAAAGTGTCAGTTAATATTTTCACCTCAGTGTCATTTAAAGGACTCCTCCATGTTTAATAAAAAAGAACTCACTGGAAAGAACTAAAAGAGCAATGAAGTTACCTCAGCAGATTTAGATTAAGCATTCATTGCTTCTTTTCTTTCTCCCTATTTAATTCAGTTCAAGTTTATAACACAGAAAAGACTGTAATCAGCAGTCCAAACAACTTCCCCAAGCTTTCAGCAGAGACAGAAGATCAGAAATTACAAGGTAATACTTTGAACACTTACTTGTCTCCCCATATACCCACAGGCCATGTAGGTAAGAATTGGCTGAAGCATCACTTGCACCGTTGTAGCTTTTTTACTGAGTGTTGTTAATATAGTAAATAATCCATCTCCAACTGATATGGCATCCAATCCTCCATGAAAATTCTCATGTTTTGTAAGATGTAAACCACTGGCCCCTAGCATATAAGAAATTGCATAAATCTGAAGACACTGGGAAACAGTGAAATATTTAAGATAACATTATCCATTTAATTTAAGATAACCTTTCTACCTTTCCAAAAAAATAATAATATAAAATTATCAACTCATGTTTTTTTGTTGAAGGACAAAGAGCACACAGGACAGTAAGTTTAGCATACTCCTATTTCACTATCATGCGCGTTAATGACAAAACAAAAAGGCAAAAGTGGATTTATAATAACATTTCCAGTGCAGTTTTGTAGGTTTCAATGGGCAGAAAATAGCAATAAGTATATTATATTATTTTTCACATTGTTGTATAAGAGTGGGACCTTTCCCTCTCAAAATCTATTTTCTTGAACTTCTTTCTGAACATGCACAAGCTGACTAAGAGACCACTGAGACAAATATATCCATTCACATATTAAGACATCATATTCTGAGTCAATTACATAGTAAGTACTTTGACTCAGTATGGGTGGAAACCGAATTCATTCTCCCTCTGCCTCTGCCTCTGCCTCTCTCTCTGATGTATTCTATGTATTTCATAGAAGTCAATAACATTTTATGTAGTAAAACAACTCTAGAATGTTTACAAGACCGTTTGACTGCTACAAACTCTGCACTCTTTCCAGTGCCAGATTAAGAGACAGTGTGGTATTGTTATTAAACTGGTGGATTAGGAATAGGGAAAGACATTCAGATGGACCAGGAACCATGGAGGTTCCCTTGGTGACTTTGGGCTGGTCAGCTCAAGCCACTTCACAGGTAGCTGCAAAGTTGTTACTGAGGATATAAATTGAAGGATGAAATACTACATATGCCATTTTGAATTTCTGGAAGAAAAGTGGAATGTGTATCTAATGAATACATGTTTGCTAAAGCATTTTAAAAGAAATGTATTCAGTTTCTCTTTCTATTTCGTTTGGTTTTATTTTGCTTAATTGGCTATTGCATTTTATTCTATTATTTGTATTATATTTCTATATTTGATATGGATATTTTTCTAATTATTGCACATCATCCTTCATTTTTTAAAAATAAATTTTAAAGGAAAACTTGAGATTGATTGGTATGTGGGGAAGAACAGGGTTTAACACAGATTTTTATTTGTGTTGTTTTCAATTCTAACTGAGCAATTCCAGCTTGTCTGTCTGCGTAGTTGTTAGGAGTAAAAAATGTCTTGATCGCACATGATCAATCATTCATTCATTTAGGTTACATAAAAATATTTGAAATACAGAATATTCTTACAAACAAAAACTCTAGAGCCAACTTATTTAAATATGGGTGTAGCTGGGATGACAGCAGGCAGCATTATGCATTACCTAAGAATTGCACGCAAGCTGCTCTGCTCTTTTGAGATGGTTAAGCAGGATACAGAAATGATATACACGCATAATTAAAATACCTACCAATGATCATTGCCATAGCACTGCTGTTACATTGGCCCAGAGCAGACAGAATTTGGCTCATAATTTGTTGGTTTGCTAAGACTAGATCAGCCACATAGACAGTGGAGCCTTGAGTACTCCCACTGTTTCCACTGCTATCTTTTCCACCAGAAACCTTTTCTTCGTCGGAGACGCTGTCCATGGTGCTGCTGGCCACCTGAGCCCGAGCACTATATTCTCTGTTGCTTGAAAGAGGCAGCTGAACCAGGATATTGACCAACTTGAGCAAATCAAACATGAGCTGATCCCTTGTCATCTCTCCACAGACTGCTTTGGCATCTCCTGGCCGGATGATATTAGCAAAGAGGCCTCCAAAACATGCTCGGGCACCCACTGAACTGTCAGAACCACTACGAGACATTACTTTGTCGGTACATGTAATGTAATGGTGCACTAGAAATGTGATGGATTCAACGACAGCGGAAATGGTGCTCACTGAAACAACTTCAAAATTCTGCTCAAGGGTAAATTCCAAAAGCTTCACTTGTGCATCCAGAGGACCCTGGCCAGTCTGGAAAGCACCCCTGGAAATAAAGGGAAATGAAAATTAGAGTTATTTTGGCTGATGAAAATCAAAATACATGCCTGTATACATACTGCATATTTATATTTTATTATATAAGCTTAGCCAAAAGCCTGCACAGAAATAAAAATACCAGAAGACACACACACAAAAACGCATGTGCATGCGCACACACACACAAAATAAGGAATGAAACATAAGAGAAAATTGTAAAAACAGTTTTCATTAGCACATTTCCCCCTTCTTTTCCATTTTTTTCAACCACTAACCATTACTTAAATATTTATGATTAAACATTAAACATTGGAGGTTGTTGCTTATATTTTAAGTCATTTCATCAATCATTTTTAATTGATCTTTAATTTTTTTCCCTAGAAAACATATTCCAAGTGCATAATTTTGTCTTGCTGTGTAGCTTGTTATGTATAAATAAGCCATTCCTGCTCACATTCAGTTAAACTTTTTATGAATAATATATTGTCAGTTTTCTTTGTTGCAAATTCCCAATTTTGGTCTCCCAATCTTGTATCATCAGCCAAATTTCATTTTACCAACCTTTTGCCAATTTTAATACTGTGTTGTTACTACTTGAGTACATCATGATGCTTTTTATTTATATTTTAAAAATTGTTAATAAAAATACTTATGGTTTTAATTGAAAATTATTGTTTAAAATTCTGAATATTTCTAATACTTCTGAGGGCTTTTTTTTTGGCATGACCATGACGTGATATAATGTTCCTTTTTGACTGTGGCATTTCTAGCACTTACTATATAATTTGTCCACCTAGGTAATCAATGATGGATACCTTCTATAATACATTTTATACAGTGTTGGGATTCTACCAGTTCGAACATGCTACTGTTCGGCCGAAGTAAAAAAACAGCTACCAGTTCGTCCGAACCAGTATTTTTTTTTTCCTCCTGACGATCAGCTGTGTCAGAATCCCCCTCGCTGTCTTACTGCTTCGCCCAGGAGGCTTTCATGAGGCCCAGGAGGCAAAAAGGGGCATGGCTGCAAAGCGCCCCCCCCCCCCATGCTCTGTGTTTTGCCTTCCTGGGCCTCAGGGAAGCCTCCTAGTAGCAAAAACCCCCCCCCCCCCCCGAGGCTTCCCTGAGGCCCAGGAGGCAAAAAATACAGAGTGTGGGGTGGGTAGGTGCTGCACAAAAAAAGCCATGCCCATTCAGTCACATGGCCACCTCCCACCTAGCCACGCCCAAAGAAATGGTAGTAAAAAAATTTGGATCCCACCCCAGATTTTATACCGATTTCCCCCTAAATTATATAAGTTGGAATGAATTTTATTATTTTTTCCCATTTTGCTGCTGTAATTGCGTCTTTAACATTTTGCATTCACTTCAACGAGCAATGTTTAGTTTATTCTGTCTCTGTGTCATATTTCAATAACTATTTATAAATACATTCCAATAGTTTCTCTTGATTCTAAGTGTTTCAAATCCTGTAATCTTTCTCAGAGTCACGTCCTTCTTAAGATCACTTTGTACTATTCCATCAATTTGAAAATACATTAACTGTGGTAAATTCCTATCTTCCTTAACAAATTCATGCTGTGTCTTTAGTCTAATTCCTTAGTCTGAATGTGCTACATTAGCAAATGCAATTAAATCTTTCTTGTTGTAATTATCCTCAATCTAAAATATAAAATCATGCTGGTGATGGCTAGTGGTAAAAGCCTTGGATTTATCCTTATTCTCAGAAGACTCCAAATTTGTAAACACTTTGTCTTATAATATGCTCCTTCAAATTATTTTCTTCTTTTCTTTCTTTATACCATAAATACTTTTGAAGGCCTTTAGTTAAACTAGCTCCTTATGGGAGCTGGGAAGAGTTCTGTGGCAGCTTAATAGAACTCACTAAGCCCAAAATGTTGGCCATCATAACACTTGATGAAAAGCTTAACCCCTCCCCCACCCCCCAAGTACTATTGCAACTAGGAATTGTTAGGGCAGTGGTGGCTAACCTTTTTGGGCTCCTGTGCCAAAAATTGCGCGCACTTGCATGCTCGCGTGCCAGCACCCAGAAGGCAATGCGTACCCCCCCCCCATGTCCCTACGCGTGTGCATGCAATCCCCCTCCCGCCCCCTTACCTGCACTGCGTCTCACAGCTGATTTTCGGCTGGTTTGAGGCCTTTTTCGGCCTCCCAAATGCTTGAGGAAGGCTTCTGCAGGCTTCTACAAGCTTTGTAGGCCGAAATCTAGCCCCGTTTCATCACTTCCTGCTTTTCTGAAAACTTTTCAGTGAAACGGAAGTGACGAAACGGGGTTAGATTTTGACCTACAAAGTTTGTAGAAGTCTGCAGAAGCCTTCCTCAAGCCTTCGGGAGGCTGAAAATCAGCTGTGAGGTGCACACATGCGCAGTGAGGTAAGTTTGCCTGCAGCTCGCGTGCTCAAACAAATGGTTCTGCATGCCACCTGTGGCACACGTGCCATAGGTTCGCCATCACGGGGTTAGTGAAACAAGCCCGCCAAACTAAAGGGTGCCTGATCCAATATGGTTTGTAAAGTAGCCCTTCCTTTTGTATGCATACACCTAGTTTCTGATTTATTTCCTGAACCATTGCTGATTTTTATTGTAAACTTCCAAAGAACAATAATGCATCACTAAATAACTTCCATGATCTTAGATATTGTCTTTATTGTTTATATGTATTGCTCCTGTTGGATTTTTTTAAAAAAATGTAATCATTCTCTTAGCTTGCCAAAAGAATTTCATGCTGGTGGTTTTCAGTTTTACTTTGCAGGGTCCAAAATAATTATGATTAGGGTTTATTTTTTAATTATGAATTCAGATAAAAATGTTTTTTCCTCTTCAATTCTTGTTCCAAGGAATAGTTTTAATATGTTTAACAAGTCAGAAACATGGTAATTTAATATCCGTTTGCTGAAAATTGAAAAATTCTAAAAATAAACACATGCAATGTTTCTATAGTCCAAAACTATAAATTTTGGTATTTATAATAAACATTACCTCTCAATTGAAAGAATATGTATCAACTTTAATAAAAATTCACTGAACATCTGAGGGCATGCTGAAGAAAGATGCACTTGTAAACGAGTAAGGAATTCTTGCATAGCTTGGGTGGCTGTTGGGCCAACCTGAAAGAGATTTAAAGAAGTATTTGTATAATACTCTGAATAACTACATAGTCTGAAATAATTTATGACTAAATTAATGTGATTACAATTGCATTTCATTCTGATTTCAAGGGAACTGAGATCTACATATTCACATTTAAAATGGCAATGTTAATTGGTAGGTTTGAATACTCATATTATTTCTCTTAAAAGATTTAACATTTATCTATACATGCTTCAAACTGGCCATCTGAATAATACAAAAATAAGGATAATATATAAATCAAATCTGCAAAAAAATTAATATGAATGAAAAATATTACCTGTGGACTATGTTGATTTGTTCCATGGGGATTTGTTCCAGAAAGAAACTTCACTAAAATATGAATAAGATTAGGATCTGATACCAATAGCTGGGCAGTACTTTCCTGAGATGTAATGGAACTACTAGAACCAGCTGTAAGACAAATAAAAGGTTGGTTCTTCTTCAGCCTAAATTATAGTACCTATGACTCTGAAATGTTCATTCTATATATAGTATACAGTATTCTGAAATTCTGAATTTTAAAATACATTCCTTTCCAACTATCAAGTACTAAGACATTCCTAAATGCCAGGAGGGTTAATAAAGTCAGGATTCCATTCTGTTACTTAAAAGAGACCCTGACCTCTAGTTGCCACCCTGAATGTCTTAAATACTTAGCTATAAGGTACCAGATCTCTTTCATAGCTCCATCTGTCACTTTCAAAACAAAAGAAGGGCCACCAGTTTCAAGCAGCCAAGCTGTGTGGGAGAAATACATATAGGAGGAGCAACAGCTATGTTTATCAAGATTATTAATCAACATTATAAAAACTGGGAATAAACAATGCATCTTTGGAGCTAACAGAATTTGGAAACCACATTATGGATGCTTACAGATATTTTTGCAAAATGGCTACTATGAGAAAGTCTTTAACAAAGTATTGGGTTGGACATAGCCACAAAACACACATATACCAGAAGACACAGTAGCACCTAAGGATGTACTGGTATATTACTATTCCACTTTAACACTGTGTTCCTTTTCTATGTAGTAGCCATACTGCACAAGCAGAAATCTATATCCATCCAGTTTTTATTTGCTAAGAATGCTTATGCACCCTATGCTAATAAATGTAGGTGATCTGTAAAATGTATCAAATTAAAAATGTTTTGAATTCTCAGAAATACTTTGTTTCAATCCATAATCTGTATTTTGGGCTGGAAATAGCTGTTCTGATTCACTGGAAGTGCACCAACCCTTTCTTAAAGTGTTTGGACTCAATCTGAATTCAAAACAGAATTATTGCAAAGTCAATACATTTCAGACTAGAATCGTATGGGAACATTTTTTTGCTTAGGGCAGAACATTTTAAACTCAAAACAACTGTTTTGAATCCCAAACAGTCATACAGTCCTAATAAATGTTTCTTTCAGGTATGTCAATTTTTCAATTTGCTTTTTAAGAACAGATTTTTTAAAAATTAAAATTAGGTGCTGGATGCATGAAAGATATTTTCAGGCATACTGCTGCCAATGGAAAGATTACCCACCCAGTCATTGCTATCCACTATTCAGTATAAACTTATGGAGCTGATATGGTCTACACAAAGCATATTTAATGTAATGATCTAGCAAGTTGTGAACTGAAATCTAGATTCATTTGATCAATAATTCTTATGTTCCATACACAGAATTAATATAAGAGGTTCTTATTTTATGCTATTTTAACAAATACACTGATTAAAAGGAGGCATCAACTTTTGGTGTCTACTACTTTTAGTCAAAACGATTTTTAAAAATTACTATTTTATAAAATGATAATTACATTTCTAGCTTAACTTGAACTTACAATTGAACTGCATGTTTGTCATGAGAGTTAGGCTGTGAAGTACAAGGCACCATGTTCGCAGCAAGGTATTAGGATACCATGCTAAGACAGTCAGGAAGCTAGTTACTGATGCTGAAAAAACAACAAAGAAATAAAAAATAGCATATCATACCCATAAGTCACAGTTTTTGGTATTATTATTGAATTATTTGAAAAGGGAACTGATCATTTTTTTTAGATACGGGGAAAAAAAAGCATTATGCCAGAGCCTTTAGTATTTGGATCTCCCAAGCGAGTAAATGAACTACATAAGTCACTTAGCAATAACATGCACGAAACTGGAAGAGCGGGGCAGGAAAAACTTATAATTTCATCATCATTCAAGATAAAAAATAATAATTATAAGACTCTGGTTTTGCTTTGGCTTGTTTCCCCTCTGTTGAAATGAAGACCAAGACTTTTACTTATTTATTGGTAATGGACTTATTCCTGTATCCACAGCAATTAACTGAGTTGCTATCATAGACAGCTATCATACAGTCACACTCCATGGGATCATTTCACATGTTGTCAGTGTGGTCAGAATATGTCAAGATCTGCATGCAGAAACCAAGCAATTTCCAACATAAAAACAAATTCAATGTGGGACATCTGTGTAAATATTTGATAATATATGAAGCAACATTTGTTGTCTTATTTAGGTAATCAGCATATGGCATATTAATGACCAAATTGGCCAACTGACACTAGGATAAGTATTATTGCTCTTTTTCTTTACAGACTAATAAAAAAAGGATAGTAATATAGCTTAACCCTCAAGCTTACGTACCAGTACATTGTGCAGCCCCCAGAGATAGAAAAAAAGAAGAAAGTAGGCACCAAATCTTTGGGGGAGATGAGCAGTTTAGATACGTGATAGATGTGTGTGTGCATACACATAAATACAAACACAGGTAGTCCTCAACTTACGACCACAATTGAGCCCAAAATTATGTTGCTAAGTGAGACAATTATTGACTTTTGCCCCATTTTATGACCTTTTTTTACTACATTTATTAAGTGAATCACTCAAGCTGTTAAGTTAGTAACACAACTGTTAAGTGAATCTGGCTTTCCCATTGACTTTGCTTGTCAGAAGGTCGTAAAAGGGGGCCTCATGACCCCAGGACACTGAAACCATCATAGATATGAACCAGTTGCCAACCATGCAAATGATGATTATGTCACCATGTTGATGCTGCAATGGTCATAAGTATGAAAAATGGCCATGTCACTTTTTTCAATGCTGCTGTAACTTTGAACTGTCACTAAATGAATGATTGTTAGTCAAGGACTACCTGTACATACCAACAGAGAGATTAAGAATGCTGAAATTTATTTTGAAGTCAAATTGATTGGAGATGCTACAGAGTGGTAAATACAAAATTTCTTTCAAATAAAAGAAATCCAGGAATTAATTTATTTATTAAATTGCTATACCGCCCACCTCACCTAAGTGACTCTGAATGGTTTGCAACAGCAGGCAACTCATACCACAGAATAAGAAGACATTCACTTATGCTAACTATTCTAAGGTATGAATGAGGGAAAGAAACCTAACTGATTCTGTAATCTGTACATTTTGTCATTTTAAATACTCCTGAATTGCTTAAGTGTATTAAGAATTAACCTAAAGGCCACTTATCTATCTATCGATTTTATGTATTGCCCATTTTACTGTCAGAGTGACTTTTGGCTGTCTACCTAATATGGAGATCACCTAAAACAGTGTTAGAATTAACTCCAGTTGAAAGCTTAATTTGTTTTTAACATACTTTAATGTGGGAAAAATGTATTCCGGAAAGTTTTCTGGTAGAAAGAAAAAGTGAATTCGGGAATTGGTTTTCAAATATAAAGGAGCTTGATGTATAAAGGACTCAAAGTGTCGATCTCCTATCTTTTTCTTTTTGATAGTTAATTTGAACTGGAGATAGTTCTTCAATTTACCATATAATGTAACAAAAAATCCAATCTGAATATATAGTCTATGACCACAATTGAACCCAAAATTTCTGTTCATAAGTGAGACATTAGTTAAATTAATTTTGCCCCATTTGTTAAGTGAATCACTGCAGCTAATAAGTCAAGTTGTTAAGTGAATCTCACTTGCCCATTGGCTTTGCTTATCAGAAGGTGGCAAAAGGTGATCTCATGACCCCGGGACACTGCAACCATCATAACTGTAAGTCAGTTGTCATATATCTGAATTTTGATCATATGACCATGGGGATGTTGCAGCGTTTGTGTGAAAAATGATCATAAGTCACTTTTTTCCAGTGCCACTGTAACTTCAAAAGGTCACCAAATGAACTGTTGTAAGTTAAGGGCTACCTGTAGTACAATATACTGAATACAGCAGAAGTCCAATATTTTTAAAACTACTGATTTAGGTCAATGTAGCAGTGCATAGTGATGCAGCTCACCTTGATTTAAAGGAATGACAGGTGTCCGGTTGGCATTGTATAAGAAAATGTCAGTACAGTTGTCTTTAGTTCCAGAAGTTCCAGAATTCAGGCTTAATGTGAGCCATAACTGTAGTAGGGACTCAAGCTAGAGAACAAATATTAGCAAATGTTATTTAAAAGGCATACTTAAAACATGATAACCATGTAACTGATAACTTGAAATTAAGATTTCAAACATCAATTTTTACTTTGGTTAACAAACTACTGTTGCAGACTGCATGCATTATGTTTGTCATATTGTAATTTGCATGGTTACTAAAAGCAGATTATAATCAGTTTGTCAAAGCATCAACGTAACATCCAAATTCTGTTTGTTGTTGTTGTTTTAAATATTTGTGTTTGTTTTATTGTAGCATTATAATTTGTTTTCCTCCCCCAAGGTTCCACTGCTTACTTGAATTTAGGAATATACTTACTTTAACAATGTAATTGTATAAACTAATGAAAACAATCTCAGAATCCAGAAGATGATATTATAAAAATGTGATACTGTAAATTCCAGTTTAAATATATTGTAACTGGATATGTTAGATAAATGTTATGAGAAACTACAGTTTAAAGCACTAGTGCACCCGTGTATATCCTACATCAAAAATGTATTGTATTATGTTTTAGTATAATATGTGAGTCTTAATCCCCACATGCATACCTATATTTTTAAATGGTGATAAACTTTTTAATTAAAATTGTTATTAATATTTTGTTGTTAACTAGTGCTTTCCTATAAGGATTAGCATTAGAATATACTATTTAATTTGTAAAAGTACATCATTAATGATTATCTGTATGTCTGTCTATTCTAGAAATACAGACATCAATTTATTTTCAATTACATTTACATTACATTTATTAAAGTAATGTGGCACACTGTCAAGTACTTTTAATAGGAACATCAACTTGAAAACACAAACAACAGCAGGCTAGGCATCAACTCAATAAAATATAGTGCTGAGCAAGTGTACATTTCTTGATTCTAAATGCCTACATAACATATGAATTTTCTACAAATTACAATAGGAACAATCATGTACCTGAACATGATGGACTTGTAGCATGGAAAATAGTTTATTGAAGCATGCACTTAACACTGGAATGGAGGACAACTGGATAATAAACTGATTGTTTTGATTTGAAGTGTGCAACCCACGCAGCAAAGAATCATCTGTTCCACCAGGAGACTGAGTTACTAGCAAAAAAAAAAAAAAAGCCAAGACATTTTTAATTACAAAAGAGAATCACACAGTGTTTATCACTGAATGTGTTATTCTTCCAAAATATCATGATGTTTCCTAGAATTCAAACTGAATTAAATAACTTGAAAAAACAGATTGATGATACAATAACTTAAGTTCAAACTGTAATTAATCTGGCAAACATATTGCTAGGAAATTGAATTAAATTCTTTGCATATCCTAAGTTCTAGAAATCACCTATATTAATCAATGCTTCATTGTTTATGTCTACATGCTTATTGATGTATACTGTAAATAACCACCAAGTTGATAAATATTAGCTAGACAAATTGACACTTGTTGAAATAACATCTTAAGAACATCCTAAAAAGAGAAATAGATTTCCTTAATAGGGAGCTACAATACACTGCAAAAAGCCTTCTCATATATATTTATCATGAACTAAGAAATTAATAGGGTATGTAAAACTAAGTATACACTGGGAAGTTGATATGTTGCTGTTAGGTATAATTGACATAATACAACCACTATTCAGCTACAAGTTCCAGACTATCTACAATAGCAAGAGAAAGATTACCATAACATTCAGAGATGCTGAGGTTTAACTGTGCAAAATTACATGTAGGAGATGTATTGGTCAGGGCCTGCAAAATGGAATCTGCTTCCAGAGTAGACATCATTTTCAGCATCAGTTCTGCTTGATGTTCCAATCCAACCTCTAAACGTGCATCTAAAGCTTTGGAAAGAATCATAAAATGCATTTGTAAATTACATCAAACAGGTAAAATTCTACATATTTTAATAGTAAATATTGTATTAAGCCTTAGTACATTATTAAATATTTGTTTACTCTTATATAAATCAGTTTTGACTGATTCATACATTTGGAAATACTTTTAAAATGAATTAATATAGGAGCTAATTATAAATATGTGCAAACGTGAGCAAAGAGTTAAATACATCAAGCCAGAAAGATCTTTGCTCTAAGTAGCAAGACATGGTTCCAAGACAGAAAAATATCCAGTTCTTAACTTTAATAGACTTTTAAAAATGCAACATTGTTTTTATAATCTGTCTATGCTCACATGTACACCTCTTGTCTAACAGGATACTGGATCAGTACCTTAATTACTATCTGTATAATAGACTTTTAAGCATAGTTTGCATAACTGAAATATGCCAACAGAGAACATGTATTTTTTTTTACCACAAATGCAGAATTTTCTCAAATTGGATTGCAAAGTAAACTAGCAGATATGCTTACCTTGAGAGACTGATACACTCACAATCTGTGATCCATTCTTCTCAGTTGTAACTGGGGGTTTTGCCACAGAAATTCCAACACCCCCAATATAAGGATTGTAATTGTATGTTCCATAATCAGCACCCCAATAATCATACCAGGTGCTGCTTATAGGCTTTATAAAACAAAAAAAAGCATTCATTGGTCTGAAATTCCTGAAAATAAAAACTTTTTTTCTGCGACTGTCAACTAGATTGTCTTTTATTTTTACCATATAAACTGCCAACTATACTGGCAGCTTTCAGATCAATACGTTCTTTGACTGAACTATAATTTTGACAGAATAAAGGGAATTGCCCAGCTAATATTTATAGCATTTTTCCCCAGCTCATTATTTTGGACTATTATTTTGTACTATCACTCCAATCACATGTTAAATGGCCGCGTTGAAAGGAGCTGAAATCCAAATGATCTTCGAAGAAGATTGCTTTACATGATCCAGAATGGAAACAAATGAATTATAGAGTATCAAATAATTCAAATTCAAAAATTACAATGGTGTATAATAGATCTATTACTATTATGCTCAAAATCAAATCTAGCACAGACATGTTTCCTATTATGATCATTAAGCCCTCTGAATGTCCCTCCTTCCAGTTTATTTTAATCATATGCTGTGACACATTAATGAAAAGAATCTAAAGAATCTATACTCACATATCCAACTGTAATTAAATGCTTAAGTGGCCTCTGTAGTGTGACATTTCTAGAATCGGATCTGTGGTTCAGATTTACAATCTCAGATCACTAATATGTACCTACTTTCTGGTTATGAATTGTTATAATACTGATCAGTATTATAATATTACTTCATGTGTTCAAGTTATAATGATGTGTTTAAAACACCTGATTTTTGTTATAAGTAATACAATATGTTTTTCTTCCTCCATCATTTT